CTCTCATCCTAGCACTGCGTGCGATGTTTTTTACATTTCACGGCCAGGCACCGCCGTGCCCTGGACCGAGGCCTGCGCATGTCAGGTCACTTCTGTTTTTCAGCCGGTTCCCGACCAGGCTGCAACAAAGGCATCGCTTTGCCCTCGCTTTGCTTTTCGGTACTTGCCTCAGGTGCTGTTCATGCAATTTCTGCTTTTCTCGAGTTGCCTCGGCAAGGCTTCGCGACATCATGGGCATCGCTTTGCCCACCCCAGCATCGCTTGTTGGTTTCGAGCATCACCGCTGCTTCATTTACCTGCGCCTGTCAGGTACTTCGGAGATGTGCGCCCCCAGCTCCTCTGCTTTGCTCTTGTTGTCTGGCCCCCCTTTTGGCGGTTGCCTCTTTCCCTACTCCCACTAAGCCCTGGCACAGGTACTCCAACATCGACTTCTTCGACCACCGGAGGACTGCCCTGCACTGCAATGCTTTCTGTGACTCGCTCTGTCACAGCGCCGGAATGCATCCTACTGCTTTGCATAGCCTTCGCATGTCGAAGCCTTTCTCTCGAGCATTTGCTTCGCATCGCACATTTTGCTTTTCCTTTGCATCGCACAGCACCGCGCAGCATGGCCGGTGCCACCGTCGACGCACTGCGCGACCTCATGGCAGCGGAGCGCAAGGACCGTCTGGCCGCACTGCGCCAGCTGGGGGCCACGAGGATGGCTGAGCTTGAGGCCGACCTCCACGAGGCAAGGCTTACCTTGTTTGGCCCCTTGCCCTCCTCCGCACTGCCCTCCACTGCACCGCCCCCGCCTTTGCACACGGTGCCGAGCACGGCCCCGCCCAGCACCACACCGCAGGGCACGCCACTGCCCCACAAGACACCGCCCATGGTCAAGGCGGCGCCTACCAAGTCGGCAGCAGCACCGCCCCCGACTTCCCAGCCCGCCCCTCCGCCCGAGCCCTGCCCCCCCCCTGCACCGCCCATGCCCAAGGGAGGCTCCCCCCAAGCGGGAGCAGAGTCGCGAACGCAAGCAGCACCGCGACGCAAAGCCCCGCAAAGGCACCCCCGCACAGCAAGAGAAGTTCGTGCTTGGGCAGCCGCCCATCCCTGAGGAGGATCAAAGCCCTGCATTGCATGCCCCTGCCCCGCACAAGCCGACGCGGAACAAGGCAGGCAAGAACTGGGCCGACGTCACGGAGGAGGAGATCACAGATGCATGGCACGACTCCTCTGCATCGTCAAGCTCGGCACCGCCCAGCTCCGCACCGCCTTCCACAGCCCCCCGCCCCGCAACCCCGCCCCGCACAGCCACGCCCCGCCGCAACCGCAGCACATCGCCCTCACCAGCCGCTGGGAAGGGCCTCGGCAAGGGGCAAGCAAGGCCGAGATGCATCGCCCGGCCCTGCCTACGTGGATCCCACATGGCAATCCGCACCGCCTGGCGTGCCATGCCGGCCGCGGACCCATGGGCCTACTACAAAGGCTATGGCAAAGCACAGGCCTGGTACCCGCCACCCGCCTTTGCCTGCGGCTGGGCTGCACCGCCCGGCCCTCCCCCGCACGGGCCCCCACCGCAAAGCCCTGCACCGCACATGCCCCAGCCGGCCGAGCAGGGCCCC